TGGTATAGCACAGTACAACACATCATAGTATGTTAGAGTATGGAAAAACATAGTAATAGATGGTATAGCACAGTACAACACATCATAGTATGTTAGAGTATGGAAAAACATAGTAATACATGGTATAGCACAGAACAACACATCATAGTATGTTATAATATGGACAAACATAGTAGTACATGGTATAATCATATATATGATATATATGATATAATCACCTGAGACCATCTTGTGACGCTCCATACAGGACAGTACCTTTGTTTACTACACACACGCATAGCAATGGGTTTAGATGTTGTACATCGTTCATCTGGAATCATTTTACTTTCACCTCCTTGTACCACGTGCTCACAATGAACACGACGAACCTGTTTTCCTTGGCCACATGTGGTAGAACAAGCAGTCCATCCACTGATAAACCAACTGTAGACATGATAGATTATGGTAAATATAACTCGCTGAAAACCATCACACTGGACCTCTTTACCTTCGTTGTTTGTTGTCCCATTACAGACCATGTGATGCCACTCTTGGGAGTTGATTCTTTTATATGTAAATATTTCATGTCCATCATGAAAAAACAATTCTCAAGGAAATGTCACGTGGTCTGAAATGGGCAATTTGCATACGAAGATAAAAAGGTTTATTGAGTCGGCTTGCAGCATGTTTGTTCCAAAAATATCTGCAAATGGTTTAACCATTGGCGTGGCTTGAATGACCAACGTAAGATGGCACTTTTTCTTAGAGACGTTAAACACAATGGGCCACAAGTTTATCATTGCTAAGTAGCGACTGTCCCGTGTCATCCTCTTTGAATTGCTTTACCTTTGATCGTAGGGATTGGATGCGAGTCTCGTGGCCGCAAAGGCGGTTGGGAACGGACCGTCACCTTGGATACTCACCTTGGTGGACATGGTTGTGTATTACAATCTCTTTTTGTTGCTGGCTTGGTTTTAGCATCGCATTGATAAGGCGGCACTTCTTTGTTATCGCGATCACGAAGGCAAGTAATTTTGCGGTATTGATATCCTGAAATAGAGAATAATATTTCCATAATAATACATCGTTAATTTTCATATCATATGATGGGCTAGCTATGGTATCATTATGCGGTATTGCATCATAGTCATGCGCATTGCTTACCTCCAGCACACGTGGCACTACATYGACCATAATTACTTGTTTTCCATGAATACTTTGCAAGTTTAGGAAGTTCTTTGATTGATTTAGGGATAGAAAACTCGTAGGATACGCCAGGATTGTTATGACCCTCTCTCATTAGAATCTGTAAAAGAAGCTTAGCATTTAGCAAAAGACGTTGGTTGTATAACCCATCCCTAAAGAGATTAGAAGAACCTATCGACTCACATGTGCATGGACGGGCTGCGAGATTGGCCCAAGTGATCGTATTTCTTCTTTTCCTGAGCTCGACCTTTCGTACCGAAACAGAGAGCCAGCGATCTTATATGTACGCGGATTTGTCACATCGAAGTCGCCGTTCAAAAAGAAGTTTCCTTTGGAATCTGCAAGAGCTGATAAAATAAACGAAATAAAACAGTCAAATACATTATGAAGATACTCTCATCTCTAGAGCCTGCGTTCTTTATGGTCAGCACTGCGACCTATTAGTATGCGCAATACAAGAACAACCCTACATGGTGTACAACTTCTTGTTTGTTATCTTACCCAGGAAATGACCAGCTGGAGCTTCCTCAGTGATAACGATGTTAGTTGCGCTTGATGGGATGACGGCAAACTCCTTGTAACCTAAAAACAACACAAATCAGACCCATATGAGCTGTATATGAATGGTAGGAATGGTTACTATTGTAACTAGATGGACATAACACTCACCATCACCGACTCCTGTAAATTTGCCGGTTATGGTACGACAGTTTTCTCCATTACCGTTGCATACCCGGCATTTGTCCTCTTTGGCTTTTGAATGCATAATGAGGTCACATCCCAAAGGCTACGGTTAGAAAAAGGTAATATAGCTTAAGAGAAATGAGGTTTGCATTTGTTTAAAATGGCCATGCAAATAAGATGAAGCTGTTTGTCGGTTTACGGACTGTTCAAACATTTAGTTATCAGCGATGCAGAACATACAGACTATAGTTTGATGAGCCAGTGGAACAGGAAGGAAAGAGTACTCGATTAACCAATGATGTATGTAATTTAACAATGATGAATGCCAAAAGAAAAACAAAAGGACGTGTACTGTTACCTAGTACAAAGGGTCTTGTGAATGAAGAAATATATATGTTAACAACTAATACAAACATGGACAGACCGACTAACCAACTAACTATAGAACTCTCTCAAAAGTGGACACCTTTGAATCATCGTCTTTTATCTTCTATATTTAAGTATTTTATGAATGACTTTGACCTTAAATTGTTTCTGTAGCCACACATGGATTTGATGCAAAACATAATCTTTACCTCGTCAGCAAACCATTAAGAGACCAACGTACAAAACTGCTTCTGTTTTGAACAGATGGTCGCCACAGGGCGCTTGGATTATTAACACGCTGACTAACATGGAATATGGAACAAAAATGGAACATACCTCGCATTTGCCATTGACGCAGATATCATATGAATCAGGGCTGCATTTGGTACCATCTACCACCTTGGCGGCCCAGCGGTAATAAAAATACTCGCCTTTTGGCATGCAGTTTAGCGTACATGGATCACGTTCTGTTGAACAAAATGAATAACAATTAACACTTTCTGTTATAGCGCATCATTTGATAAGGATTACGAAGGAATTTATTGGTCGAGCTGTTTGAGTCTGCGGCTATAGACTGGTGTCGGGCAGCATACAAAGTGATGTATAGGACCCCGGATAGTAGGAAATACCGGGTACGGTATATAGAGGATCATAATCTATATGTCAGTACCATCTACGCTTACCTGGAATATAGGGAACCCATTTGTACTTTTTTCCTTGTAATGTTCTATTGTTGAAGCTGGCACACTGTTCATATCTGTAGTCACCAGACTCCGCCGGACAATCCTGTGCCATGAAACCCAAAACCGAAAATATATGTTATTCAACTATGACGTCACATGGGTCATTAAAATACTTCATATGACGTCACTAATAGTAGTACATGCTCCTGATAGGTTGATTAGACTATGACGTTACCTATACCTTGGATCATAATAGGATTATCCAACTTTGACGTAACTGTTGATTCATGACATCACTTATATATTGGAAGCACCAAATAGGGTTATTCTACTATGACGTCACCTGTATATTACATGTTCTTGATAGGTTGATTTAACTATGACGTCACTTATCACTTGCATCCTAATAGGATTATTCGACTATGACGTCACTTGAATAAATTATGACGTCACTTATATATGATGCACCAAATGGGGTTATTTTACTATGACGTCACCTGTATATTGCATGTTCTGTATTTTCTTCTTGGTTCAGGGCAGGACCCGTCATCTCTACATGCGACAAGACAAAAGAAACAGCGTTAACTTTTCTCGTTACAACTTGTTGCAGGAATAATCCAACTGCTACTTACGTCACATCCAGACATTTTCTATCTTGGGAGGACACTCCTACTCCACATGAACGAGAACATGGCGACCATTCTCCCCACTCATCGTCTAGCGACTACAACACAAACACGATATGTCAGTAAAACTGTTTCTGATTGATACTTTATTATTTTGAACTCTTTGCTTTGGTCCATGCAGTTGGCCAGTGTTTTAATACGGGTTAATATGCTAGCATTGATTGTGACAAAACTAATGATTAAGCCGAAGAGCTTACAGGACGGATCCACGTTATCTGTACAAATATCTGTAGATCATGGCGAAAAATTTGGTACAACATGGCGGACGAGCATGCGCAATAGAGTGCTTAAAAGTAAAGAAATGTCAACAAAATTTACTTGAAAACCATCGGTAATCCCGGTTTTTTCCCCTCTAGCTTTTGTTTTATTAACTATTTCAACTTTGCACATATCCAGTATTTTTTTCATACTTATTATCCATAATTCTACTCGAGTTTTGAAGCAATCAATTATCGTCTTACCGGTTCCATTTTCGTTTGAAGATTTTGCCGTTAATGCCCACAGAAAACATAGAAAACATGGCCGACATGCTGATTTTTCTCGTTTTCGCACGACTTTGTCGAGCTCTAAAAGACTAGATAGAGTATTTACAAGTTTTGCACATATCCAGATTAGAAGTTCATCATGTAAACATAGTTTTCAAAGCAAAAATATAAGCATTAAAATTCACTAAACCGGTTCCAAAATCAGCTAAACATGAAGAAGAATGACTAATTTGAAGTTTCTCTTGCTTCGATTACGATCGCGCGCGGAATCCTTCTAAATTCAGGACAGATTTCGACAAGAATATCTCAAAAACTAGCTATTCCTCGACGGCCATTTTGAATCCCATGATTCTTTATACCCTAAGTCCCAGACTATCGCTGATTAACTTAACAGAGGGGGACTGATGACTCGATCAACAGGGTTTTTGGCGGTAAAATCATGTCACTCCATCAGCTGATTTGTAGTTTTTCAAAATGTTGGACGTGTTTACCAAAATACCAGACCCTCAGTTTTGAATAAAGATCTTTCAAACGTTGAGTTGTGTAATACAGAATTTCATTATTTATATAATAGGGATAACGACGGGGTTGTTTTTGCATTGAAAATTTCTTAAAGTTCTATCATGAATAATGATGTAGCTAGAGCAATAGTCCTTAGGAAATCTAACAAGTGCATGGACTCAACTGCAGATATTTTAAAGCTTGAGAGCAGGCAATGGAACCTTCAGGATCATGAAAGAAAAAGAAGAAAATATAACAAAAAGAATACTGCCTATTTGGAAGAAGAGATAAAAAACAAAATGAAAAAATGAGCTGAATGTTTATGTTCATTATACGGCTAAAATATTTTCATGTGGCCTTAAAAGATAATTAAAGTTTAAAGACAAAAATGCAGGTTAAGGATGGTGGTTTATACCCTTATTCATTTTTCTTTTTGTATTTTATCTTTTTATTCATATATTCAGATGTGTAAATATAAAAGAAAAACAACAAAACAAAACTGAAAAAAAATGAAAAAAGTAAATCATTTTTGAAATTCCAAAATATCCTGAAGTAGTCTCACTAAGTTTCTCAATTTAATAATATCTTGGTAAGGGAGAATTTAGCTCTATTCAAGGCTACAATGGTGTTTAGAGTTCAAAATATTTGGGAACACTTTTGATAATTATGAACAGGTCAGTCCTAGCTGGTGAACTATTGACTTGTGTTACTGAAATGATCATTCTAGGATAAATTATGTCAGGGGAAATAACACAGTTTTTATAATGTGAACAGAATAAATTTATTTTTAATTGCTTTTAACTCACAGAGGTTATGTATATAAAATACAATACTTAAGAAACTAAAGACATAGTAAACAATTTGAACAGTTAATTGAGTTATATATCTTTCTATATTTTGCTTTTAGTTTAGTCTTGAAGTGTGTAGGTCAGCTAAGAAATGCTACAAACTACTTGATTCCTACATCAAAAGACAACTAAAAGCACCTCAGTGAATACATTTGTGGTATTATTTCTATGTATTTTATCTAACATATTATTAGCAATATATTTCACAATATTGTTGAAAATTTTGAAATTATAATTATTGCTAATTTGCAGATAAATGTAGTTTCAGGTATACAGTTGTAGTTTCTTGACAATTATGGAAAGTTTGAAGCTTTGACTTTGAAGCTAGTAACATACAGATAATGTTCTAAATTAGAGAATATGCAAGTTATAAAACTTTTGACTTTTGTATCAGTGCATAATTGGATCAAAACAAGTAAGAAATTTGTACAAAATCAAATACAGGAGAAGGGCTTTCGAACAAAATCAATCTTTAGCTTTTCAATAGGCATAGTTGGTTGTTTTACTAGCCTCCCACTCTGAAAAACAATTGTACTTGGTGAATGAGACAGAACTTTGCCTACTCGAATAGGAAAATGAATGATCTCCCCATCCCCATTTCTGTCCAAGCACTGGTCCCAATCATTGAAAAAATTACAACATAAAAAATCTTCCTTCTCTAGCATTAATGCTTTCCCATCTTTCAACACATTACCCTTATCCCCAAATAAATAACGAAAGCAGTCATGATCAAAAGAGCCAGAAACTGGAACTCTTGACTTGCTCTTGAGCTTTAAGATAATATTGTGCAAGAAAGAGTGTCAATGTTAGCCTGAAGTCTGGACTTCTCAATTACAGGCTTGTCATATGATCTAATATAAACGGAGAAATCAATCAATACCTCTACTATGTATAATTAAAGTAAATGAATGACAAAAATTTACATTCAACCATATCTTACCTTATCAAGTCTCTGGTGAGGTTTCCTTCATCCTCCCAGCTAAAGTAATATAAACTGTAGGCTTCCCACTTGACTAGATATTCAGTCTGAATGCAGTAAAAGAATTATTGTTAAAAACAACAACAACAACAAAAAAGACAAGAGACAACTAATTCCTTAATAAGTAAGACATTTTTAATGGTAAGAAAGAAAATATATTTAATAAGATTCGAAAAACAGTAAAGCATGCTTAGTAAGTTACTTAATAAAAAATTGTTCAAAAATAACTTTAATTTACTTACATTTCCCTTGAAAATTCGCTTTGAAATCAGCCTCTCTACGGCATAGTATGGACCACTTGACCTTTTAGTTTTTTTTCTCACCTTTACTGGCTCGAAAAACCAGACTGGTGACTCATTAAGTTGCTTATAAAAACCTGGTAGTGATTTCCTGTTGGAACTGGCAGCCATCTTAGTACTGGCCTTCGACTTAAAGTGCGCCCGCGATACTGAACCGCTGAGAGTACGAGATTTTTCGCCATGTTATACGTGCATTAATCCCTTTTAATTCCCACAAGACCGGTAACGCCCACGGACAATACAATGAGAAAGTCATCATAATACCGCCTTAAAACACTTAAACACCTTGAAATATCATTATGTTCCTCTTGCAAGGTTTGGCATCCTTTTTGTTTGATCAAGAACTAGTTTAAATGTTGTACCGTAGCTTTATCAGTGCTAATCGTTGTTCCACCTTATATCTCACAGCTAGTCTGTCTCGCCGACCTAACGTAACTACCTAATATACTTCCATAATACTAATATAATATACTAATATAATTGGTTTAGCGTGATCTTATTATACGACTCTCAATACAACATGAAAGCATTAGGTGTGATGTCTTTAGAAGGGGTGAGGAAACTGTCCGGCTTATCTACATCGATCAACCATAAACATCTGGTTTGTTTAATTAGCTGTCTAGATTATACAGAATGTCWATCTCTCATGAGCCGAAACACATATTGACAAGTACTCTAGACTTTTAAATTGGTGGAATTTCTGAGCTACTTTCATGGTGTAATATAAGTCATTGTTCGCTAAGTTGTTGACGCATGCACTTGGTGATAATACCCTGGAGCATGAAGACGAAGTAAACACGACACGACCTCACAGCAGAAACTGAACATCTATGAACAAATGCTTTGAACTTTCAACTGGCGGATGATTCCTAAGAACAGCAAATACTGTCAATCACTTATGTCTTTCCTTATCTCTAACCATAACAGCATCACTTATAGTCGAGATATATAAGTTTCAAGCAATTTTTTAGGTGAAACTAGCGCTCAAAAGGCTGCTGAAAGAGAGCGTTGCATGTCAGGCGTCATGAAACGAAAATTAAAAATTTTCAATCCTGAAAGCCAAGCGTGGTATAACCTCCTTGTTTATTATGCTTATCTCGCTCTACAAACGAGCTTCAGGTTGAATTTGTGCACTAATTGAAGCAATGAGCTTTTTTAGTGATTCTTGCCCACGAAGGATTTGTTAACAAAAATCCGACGTATTACGGTACGTGGGAATGACAACAGGAATGACACTATTGTATCTTTACGTCTTGCCATGAAGGAAAACGACGTCTCAAGCGAGGCTTGACTGAGTTATATATTCGTGTGTCTACTCAATAATAATCGCCTGTTTTGTTACGAGTAGGATTAGAATATTGATCTGGTGTTTGTTTAGTCGTGTATCCATCATTAACAGCTAATCACCACGAACATGTATGCACACATATTGTATCATAAGTAAGTGACCACTTGCTTTAGATATCATGAGAAACGTCCTTCAGAGAAAACTGATATCAAGTCATGATTTATAAACCAACTGTTGGGGACTCGAAATACCTCTTCAGACATCTAATTACCCACATTTTTCTAAGACACCCACAAAAGCAGACAAAGTTCATGTCTTGCTTTGTTTCGTCGCGTCTTTACTACACTGCCTATAGACCAGTGTGTCAGATTCAGGTGTTAAACTTTGGTCTCTTTGTATCTGTTCGTTATGAGCATAATGTTGTTTTTGAATCCGTCGGTGCAGTAGCTTAATTACTTCAGATGTTCTTCGTAACTAGAAGCAAACTGGGGCCTAAAAGTTCTCTAATCCTAAACACAAGTGTAATTGTTATCACGGACTGCACGCGACTTACTACTACGGCATCACAGTCCTTGACCTCATTGCACTGCACACACGGGTACACCTTGAATAAGAGGCGAAGCTAGCACATCATCCAAACGCCAGACATATGCGTATAAAAAATTTAAAAACCAATCTTGGTCTGCGCATACATTTTATTGGTTTTGGATGATCAAAAGTAATGCAGGCGCAAGGTAACCTTGACGCATCTACGTGATGGAACATTGTCTGACTGACTTTCATCTGTCAAATGTTAGAAGTGCCATTTTAAAAACATGCGGTTCAAGTGTTGGTTGAAGAGTATGATGAACAATAAAACTTCAATAGGAGCCATACTATTATCGGAATTTATCTTTMAAAAGAATTTTTTACAAATCTTTTGTTGGTGCCACTTCCTGAGATTTGTCCGCAGAAAGAAATTGAATGTGACAAGATTTCCTGACGAACTCCCCACCGAACAAACAGTGGTCGGATACTATTATAAAGTAGTTGAGTTAAGGACCGCAAGTATCGTAAGGAATGACTGATTCAACCCTTAGAGGATATCCGTTCAATCTCAGCAGCATCTCGAATACTTGTACGTATCGAAATAGAAACATGGACATACCTGCGCTGTCAGACAGTAAATCCCTAAACCTACAAACTGACCCCCTAAGCTTTTTAACCCTTTCTTTTAATACAAAAAACATATTGTTATTCGCGCAATGAGAGAGAAGAAAGAAAAAAAGAACACACTTGAGTCTTTAGATGACACCTTTAAGGACACTGCACTTCATGAGAGATGGAACGTAGTGTCCAGCCTTATCTCACCGCTATGTCCGTCACGAACTGCAGTGTTTTACAGCAAAACAAAATAAACAAATGCAGCAGGCTTTGCGTACTATTTTTTACTTTACTTTGTTCAAAATAGAACAGCGTGCCGCTCAGACTAAGCCGGGCCTTGGCGTGTCTAGATTGGATATTTTGCGCCAATAAAAGCTAATTTAATTTCAGTTATTAAATATTATTCATTCATGTCTTAGTGGGAGTAATTATGACCTCGTGTAGGAATCAATGAGTCTAGAATTTACAGGCAATAACTCAGTCACAGGGAAAGTTGCCAGAAATCCTGCAGCTCAATAGCTGGCAGTGGAATACTGCATTATGATCACTTGTTTACTCAGAGACGTTTGTAGTTCATTAGTAGTATTGACTTACCTGTGTGAAGGACTTCTGCAGGAAAAATCCGAACAATACCCAAACAACCAGAAGTAAGCTGTTAGAAGACGATTAAAACAAATTAGTTATAAGTTCTACTGGAAAACTTCATAAACTGTAATATATCGTAATACAAAATCACCAGCATTCACGATGACCTTGCTCAAGTGATTCCTGATATTTTACTATGATCAGGTCTTCACTGAGATCTGAAAGCGCTTTTAGCCATACATTTTCTTATGACTTGAGTACTGATTTGGGATTTAGAAGGACACGCATAGAGTTTAAAATTTTAATCAGAGTTTGATAGACAAAAGAGAGGCAGAGAGCTGTTTGCTTTAAGCAAATAGGCAATAATAAAAACGGGATAGCAATAGTGTGGTTGGACACATGCGATGGAACGACCGCCTAAAGTCTCCACCACAAACTCTAGTCAATAGACATTAAACTTTAGCAAGAATTTATAAGTATTTTTAATGCGCGATAAAATCTTGAACTAAAGAAAGAGTTGATAGACTAACGACCAGGATCAATCAAAATAGGCCAGGAACTCAAAAACTTACTTTGCCATGAAGGGAGCGATTCGTGGTCTGTAGTTTTGATGTTTGTGCAGTTCCGGAAGGTTAGCACCGAATCTTTGTTCCTCACTACTGCTTGGGCTCTGACTGACTGGTAGGCAAGCTCGTAGTGCGTTTGTTCGCCAGAGAAAGAATCTCTTACATGTGACTCAATATATACTAATGTATGAAGGGTTTAGTGACAAGTCAAACACTCGTCAAGTGTTGAAAGAAGTGCCTTTCCGGTTGTCACGATCATGCCTTCAGCAAATAGTACTCCAACTTGAAAGAATGTCTGCATCAAAGGCGGGTACTTTGAAATATTGCTTCACGAGGTTAGTCAGTATAGACAAACATAATACCTGAAAACCGCAGATGGTGAAAAAAAAATGTTATGGGAATTACACATTAAAAAAATGAACGTCGATTTCCGTAAACATAGAAATGCGAGGAATGAAGAAGGTTTTCTTTTTCAAGCTGGACAGGTTTAGAATTTCCTTCATATTTATCTCTCAGTCAGAAAGCGTGAACCTTGACACTCCGAACTTTCAAGACTTTGTTGTGAACAAATCAAAATTGCTTTATAATATACCGGAACCTAGGCATAGAATAAAATAACAAGGGTCAATATAATAGTGCCTTTCTTCATGCTTCTCGACCGGCCATTGATACTCGTAAGGCGGGAAGAAAGGAGCGCTTGGATTGTTCCATGGAACAGAATTTATATAGTTTTTTTAACTTGGAAATCCCGAGAAAACAAATATTTATATTGGAATAGAATTGCTTTATAAGAAAGAAAAAAGAAAATAGTGAACAAGGAAAGAAATAAAGAAACAAAAAGAATTCGAAGAACTAGCAAGCTACAAGTTTGAGCTGCGCCGTGACATATGACTTAATGAAAGTGAATTGTCTTGATTTTGAAAATAAAATAAAATAAAATAATAGAAATGAGTTGCGCTAGACTAGACATATGCAGGTTGAAAAGGCAGGAATGATTTCGCAATAGTTTTCCATAGTTGTTTATTATCACCTCAGCAGTCTGCCATTTCCGTAATATCATGTTGACTAGTAAGATATCCGCCAAGTCTGTCTTGACGAAATGCAAGAAGACGAAGAAGACACAGTGTTTGCTCAACCAAAAGACACAAAAACTTTGGGCGGAAGATACGAAAAGGGGCTGGGCAAAATATAACTGATATAACTTTCAGCTGAGAATGTTAAAATGAAGATTTGTTTGGCACTCCTACTATAACTATACCCGATGGCTAGTGACCTTTGATCAGGTCACATTTCCTTGGTTAAGTGCTCTATCAAGGTATGACGAAATATTACAAATAATCCAAATATTATTGCATTCAAATCATATTTCAAATAGTTTATGATTGAATTGAGTTGCTATATAGGTGCAGGGTAGAGCAGGGCAGGGCAGGGCAGGGCAGGGCACCTTCGCTTGGCACGACTGGTAGCCAGTAAAGATTTAATATCATGCCAACCGATAGATCAACATGAGTTAACAGGCTGGAGTCCGGGAATCGTGACATTCTTCGAGGTCAACAAGCAATGATTTCATAGTAATGTGCACTATGAATATACTTGTAACTGGAGAGACTTGGACAAGACTTTTACTCTTGAGCAAAATGCGTTCATGAGAATTTCACAGTGTACCCCCTTGTAATTATATTATAAGGAGTTGTCTGATGACCATAACTTCGATTTTTTTACTGATTTTCAATTAAGCTATCTGTATTATACAAAAAGTAAAAATTTCTCTGTTTATAAGCTGTAGGAAAGCTGTAGGGAACTTTCTTTGGGATGATATTACCAAGGTCTGGCTGGTAATGATAAAGGAATGGGTACCAACGCATGCGCACCAAAAGCAATAACAAAAGGGGGGAGCCATGTTTAATTTGTTGCTAAACAAGAAGTCGTAAATAATCCGTAAATAAGCTGACGAAAATATAATTATTATTTGATACTAGACTTAGAATATCGAGAATTATGAGTGAGGACGATGATTTGGCATTTGCTATGTTTCTTCAAGGACAGCTCGATAACGAAGATAGTAATTTGGAGCGAAGAGAGAAGACAGAGTTACCCACATCATTAGTAGACGATGCTTGGGAAATGATCGATCCTGCACCTGATATTAGACAGTTATTCCTACAGTTTAATGATGAGTATTTTGATGGTCTTCTCGGTGGAGTAGAAGTACGATGGAGCCCAAGAATGACTCTGTAAGTTCAATTCCTACGTAATCCTCTATTTTCACTTATTGATAAATCATTTATGTTCAATAATGTTTTCCATAAATCCTCATGTTGGCTGTCAAAATTTAATCTATTTATCATGGCTATTATAATATTAGGCATAGCAACTGCTCATAGTAATAGGGTAGGGGTCTATAAGGGTGAGAGAAATGTCCAATATCTTGTTACTAAAATGAAAAGCAAAAAAATAATCACACTCTATCCTTCGACAGTTTTTCTTGAAGCCATTTTCATAAATACACTCTACAGCACAGCCCAAGACTGCTGAGTTCTGTCAATTCACTGGTTGGCTCTTACATTGCAATTGTGGTTGAGGTCTTGAATTACAGTTAGCTGTCTGGGTGCTGTAATAATATATATATGGGTATACACTGATAACTTGATTGACTCCAGGGGGTTATAGTATATTGTTTGTTTATTCTGTTTTGAAGATGTGCTGGCCTGTGTTGCTATGAAGGAAGAGGTGGTTTATGTTCTATAAGACTCAGTGAACCATTACTAAAGCTAAGACCAAGGAAAGATCTCGTACAGACACTCTTGGTAAGTGGGCAACAAAATTCTAACGAGATTTTGAAAAGGATTTTGGTAGTATAGGTGTGAAGTCATAAGGATTAGGGCCTATTTTATACAGGGTGGTAGAGGGGGGAGGGGGTGGGGGTAAGAATCATGCTTCATGGAAGGAAAAAAATGGTCAAATCACATTTCATGAAAGTCAATTAATGTTTCAGAAATAACCCTTTATCACCATGTAACTACAATGGGTAACATTGCCAAACCAGTTCAAACTTGTCAAGATGCTGGCTCTTCCTTTGACTGCTTTGCTCTTTTGGGCTGCCTGTGCTTGTTGCAGAACAGACAGCCCATAGAAAATGGAGCAGTTCAAAGATGTCTGGACTAGACCAAGTCAAGCATATATATATATATTTCTTTATGTTCTATTGACTTAAGAAAATGTTAATGTAAATTTATGATCTGCCAACTGTCTCATCTAGCCTATGGGTACAGCAACTGGCTAATACAAAGGTTCTGTACTTTTTTGTAATTTATTCTGTATTTTTACAGTCATGATACTAGATAAAAGATTCATTGATTGAAGCATATGTGTGCTGACATCTTGTGTTAAAAATGAAATTTGCTTTTTTAAAATATTTTGAACTACCCCATAACTTTTGAACTACCCCATAACTTTTGAACTACCCCATAACTTTTGAACTACCCCATAACTTTTGAACTACCCCATAACTTTTGANACTACCCCATAACTTTTGAACTACCCCATAACTTTTGAACTACCCCATAACTTTTGAACTACCCCATAACTTTTGAACTACCCCATAACTTTTGAGTATTCAACTTATATTATGCTTTATGGAAAGAAGGGAAGTAGCAAAGCAGATAAATAACAAAATTAATCAAACAAAGTCTTATCAGATGGTATATTTGCAGGAATCCAACTCAGTTCAAGTAAACAGTGGTACATATCCTACCCGTCTTAGTTCATGTTCTATTCTAACACATTTTATTATTTCAGCATGAGATGATTCATGCCTTGCTTTTTGTAACTCAAAATAACAAGGTATGTTGACGATAACCTGCTGTCAATCCTAGAGAACAGTGTTGTTTGTAAAATATTCAGCAAATCTATGGTTTTTTATCACAGGATCATGATGGTCATGGCCCAGAGTTCCACAAGCATATGTATAGGATCAATAAACAGTCAGGAGCAAATATAACAGTGAGAATGCCAAAATAACCTTGAAACAACTTCTGGGCTTGGTGGGGGCATGGCTAACTCACAGATC